GCTCATAAAGTTCTCTGTCACCTAGTCTACAAAGTAGTTATCAAGTTAGAGTAGTTTTCCTCAAACTCCCTAAGAGTAGAAGGAATCTACAAGCTACAAGCTAAAGGAAGGATCATCATCCAACCCAAGGCTTGAAGTCACTCCCAAGTAAAGTCTTCAAGTTGAAGCTCTTCTCCTAAGCTACCTCTACAGCTATCTATAGTAAGATCTACTCAAGTAAGTGTCTAAACCTTTCTTATTCTCTCAACAAGCTTTCATTCCATTGTTTCCCTTAGAGTTTTTATCTCATCAAGCACTTCATCTTACACATTCTCTTTATGGTCACAAGCTTTTGCATTATCTTCTCTTTTATACTTCCACTGTTACACTATTGTCTTATTCTAGTGCGTGTCATATTTGCATGAATGTGAGGGGTAAGGTGGTGCGTAATGGGGCTGTATATACTGTAGATATTGTACATAGCAGGTCGGCTTGCAGTGAAGTGGGGAGCCGAAGAGACATTTGACCTTTCGGAGACAGAGAAGGGAGGTGGGGAGCTGACGGTTGCCGAGCCTGCGGGTCGGAGGTCTTCTTGGGCAAGCGGGAGCTGGAACTTACGTAAGCAAGGAGGGGCGGGCTGTAGAGGCAGAGGCAGACAAGGCAGTGGCAGCAGAAAGCCATAACACAGGATGTGATGGATGGGTGAATGCTTGCATGCGTGTTTGTTTTCTCATGTGTGCAGGATAGGTTCGGGAAGCCAGCTGAATCTGGCAGTAACAGCTGGAGGCTAAGGAGGCTGGGCGGGGAAGTGTGGCAAGAGGCAGCACGGCTGTGAGCCTGTGTGACGCAGCTCTTCGCTGCTAGCGTAGGCGGGGTGATGGGACAGACGCAAGGAGGTGGTAGTGCTGGTAGAATAGGGGGATTCCTGAACGATCTATCCATTGCTTGTATGTTTCCTTTTTACACGAGTGCTTTGCTGTAATCTGAGCAAGCAGTGACGATAGGGAGATATGACGAGCAATGGGTAGTGAGTAGTGGTAGAAGGATCTAGTGTGTGTGACGGAGCAGGTAGCTCATCACATACAAGCAATCAGAGGAGGCATGCCCACGAGGTCAGGATTGGATTTTGCTGCGAAGGAATTGTTAGAGAGAGACGACGTAATGGAAGGCGACGGGAAGAACAACGTAGCGGCTCAGGAAGGAGCAGGCGCGCACGGCGCGGAGGGAAGCGAGCATGGTAGACAAGGGGGAGCCACGGGCTTCGGTACCACTCGCGAGGAGACGCATGAGAAGGATGAAGCGAGAGAAGAAGGCAAGGCGAAGAAGCCAGTGTCAGAAAGGACTGGTACGAACGCCGGAGCAAAAACTGGAACGGATCGGCACTACCAGCGCAGCGCGTCATGGCAGGGATTTGAGGAGGAGACAGCATCGGCGCGATGGCGCTACACCATGCTCCCGAAAGTGGAGGTGCCGGAACGCTTCTCGGGGGAAGTGCGGCGGGGGCCTTCGCTGAAGAATTACCTCATGCAGCTAGACAACTTGCGGGCGCGATGGGAGCGAGATCAACTGGCGCCGGAAGAATTCTTCCGCGGACTGGCAAATACATTGACGGGCGAAGCGGAGACCTACTACCGCATCTGCCGCCGCGAACTGCTGGATTGGGCGTTACAGGGGAAGGCAGGAGAAAGAGATCCAACAAAGCGGTTCCTAGAGATGCTCCGCGAACAGTTTCCGCTACAAACACCGGAGAGGGTAGTGGAGTTCCGTGACTTCAAGCGTAGAACGGGAGAGTCTGCTGGCGTACTATGGGAGGCTGATAGAGTTAGGGGAGGACATGAACTGCACGGATCAAGGGCGGCTCGTCAGCAAATTCTTAAATGGACTGAACCGCGAACTCCAACGGGATGTGCAGGTGAAGATTTTTGAGTTGGGGGCAGCGGCGACGTTGAAAGAGGCCTATGAAACGGCGAAGAGAGTGGAAACGGGGCGGCGGCTGTTCGAGGTTGAGCGAACCTCGGAGCGATCGGTGGAGCGGAGGCGGCCAGCTTGGAGTGCCAGTCCAGCGGAGCACGAGAGGCCGCCGAGCGGACCGCCAGATCCACGCAAGTGCCACAACTGCGGGAGAAGCGGACACCTGCGTCGAGACTGTCACAACCCGCCGGCCTGCTCCATCTGTGGGAAGGAAGACCATTTGCGGAGGGATTGTCCCGATGCGCCAACATGCGACAAGTGCGGGCGGAAGGGTCACACGCAGAGGGAGTGCTATTCTCGACGAGGAGAGCCGCGAGACAAGGGGGAAGTGGCAGAAATGCGCGCGGAGATAGAGCGGCTGAGAGCCCAGCTGGAAGAACGAGAAAGGGAACCCGAGCGTAGGCCAGCTATGGTGGCTCGGCAAGAGGAGGGAGAAGGAGAAAGTGAAGAGGAGTGTGGTTTTATGGCAAGACCGGCAAGGGAGAGGGACGAGCTGGGACGGCAGGAGTACGGGCCCAGAAGGTTGGCTGGAGACGATAGGGCAGGAGTGGCACCTCGCCGGCATCCACTAGAGAGGCTCAGTTGTGCAGCATCAGTGCTGGTGGCAGAGAAGGGGTATATCACAATAGGGGGACTGCCGGTGAAGCAGGCTATTATTGACACGGGAGCCCACCCGGTGTTGATAGGAAGGAGGCTGGCGGAGCAACTGCAGCTGGACAGGCCCGAGAGGCAAATAGCAGAGGGGCTACTGCTGATGACGGCTGAGGGAGGCGGCACAAAATGGATGCCTAAGACGCGGTCCACGGTGGAGATCGTGATCCGGCAAGGAAGTCCGGAAGAGTGCTCGGTGAAGTTACAGTGTGGTCTCTCGCCTTCTGAGGACGACGACCTGCTATTGGGAGTGGAGTTCCTGTATAGCATCGGCTCCACCATCTGCATGTGGGAGGAGCGGCTGACGTACAGGGTGACATACTGGGAGTACGATGGCGGCGTGGCAGAATTACCCGTGCGCTTCATACGGAGAGAACCCAGAGAAGCATACCAAGCTGAAGTGAAGACGGCGGAAGAAGAGTTGGGGCAGTTGAACTGGGAAGCACTGGAGGAGGAGAGGAGGTACAGAGATTGGCATCGTCAACAGTGGGGAGAGAGTGGCAGCCTTAGGCAGCTGCACCTAGATGGCAGAGTGTTTTAGAAGCCGATTGTACTGCTAGAACTGTTCGGGGGGATCAGCACAGGACTGGCGGCAGCGCTGAAGGCGGGTCTGAGCGTGAAGAAGTACATCTACGTGGACAATGACGATGTCGCGAGCAAGATATCTTGGCATCACAAAAAGAAGCTGGAAGCAAGGTACCCCTCACAGCTGTATGAAGGAGCAGTGGAGCAGGGGGCAGAGTGGATCTGTCATTGAGTGGAAGACGTGAAGGAAGATGCACTGGCGCACTGGGGGCACATTGACTTGGTGGTGGCGGGATGGGAGTGTCAAGGCCTGTCTAGGGCAGGGGAGGGACGGGGGATGGCAGATCCAAGGAGCGGACTGTTCCGTGAGCTTATTAGGGTCCTGAAGCTGATCAAGCGCAAGCAAGGGGAGGTGGCGTACATTGTGGAGAATGTGGACACAAGGGATGACCCGCGAGAAGCAGTGAAGCAAGCAGAAGAGGAAATCCGAGGAGAGTTAGGGGCGGGAGTAGCATGGGACGCAGCCCAGAATGGCAGCCGGGCACACATGCCTAGGAGGTACTGGCAGAACGTGCTGCCAGAAGCTGTGCTACAGTATGAGCTGTCACTCATGGAGAGGCCGAAACCACGACTGGTGGCGGACATATTAGAGCCGGCACGGACCCCAGCACCAGTACGCCACGCAGATCATGAGACGCAGTACACGTGCAATGAAGTCGGCAAGCCAAGGCAGGCCTGGCCCACGCTAGTAGCATACCAGAATGCAGAGGGATTCAAGCTGAAGAATGGGCAAGAAGGGCCGGGGATGGTGTTTGATCGGCTGAAGTGGGTTTGGGAGGAGCCGACCGCAATGGAGCTGGAGCTGGCCATGGGCTTCATGGCAGGAGCGACTGCGAGTGCCGATGTGACAGAGGATCAGAGGAGGAGAGCTCTGGGGAAGGCCATGGATCTCAACGCGCTGCATTGGCTGATAGCAACGATGGACCGACATCTGGAGCGCAACAGATGGGAGCGCATAAGGGATCATGCAGCGCGGGCAGAGCCTAAGACAAAAGACGACGCAGAGAAGGAAAGCCAGGCTGAGAAATTTCTGGAGCTCCTGGAGGAGGAGGCGTGGGAGATGCGACGGAGAGGAGTGCCGCAGGAGAAGCGGATGGCCAGGCTGAACGACCATTTAGGTATACCAGGGACATATCCAGACCAGGCAGAGGAAGAGGAGGAGTGGGGGGAAGGAGAGCCAGAGATGGATTGGGATTCGGAGGAGGAGGAGGATCCGACTGAGCGGTGGATACCAGACCCGGATGAAGTCTTCTTAGGACCCAGCCGGGCCTACATGGCAAGTGCGGCAGAAGATCTGAAGGGAGTGGAGCAGGAAAAGGAAGAAGAGGTAGAAGAAGCAAGTGAAGGGACAAGGGGGAGACCAGCAGCGATAAGGGTAGCAGAAGGAGCGGCGGGAGACAGAACGACGGAGGCGCCACCCAGGGCAGCCGAGACTCGTTGGGACATAGGAAATGCCATACAGGGCCCCGCGGCGGTCAGGCTAGAGGCAGTGCTAAGACAGCACGCAGCGGCATTCGCCCATACACTGCAGCAGCTAGGCAAGTGCGTGACCAGCACCATGCACCTACCATTGACCAGTGAAGTACCGGTGTATCAGCGGCGAAGGAGAATGAGCCCTCAATCTCAGCATCTGCACCGAGAAATGTCAAGAGCTGCTGGCGGCCGGGCTGATTAGGCGGTCAACATCGGACTACGCCGCGGCGACAGTAGTAGCAGCACGGACAGATCTGACGGGCGCAGTCTTGTCCCGGCGCATGTGTGGGGACTACAGGGGACTGAACAAGGTCACAGCAACCGACAGATACCCCATGCCGATGGCGGAAGAGATATTCGACCAGCTGCATGAATGCTGGGTCTTCTCCACTCTGGATTTGCGCCAAGGCTTCAACCAGATCCCGATAGCCGAAGAGGATAAGAAGAAGACGGCGTTTCACGGGCCGGACGGACTCTACGAGTGGAACTTCATGCCCTTCGGTTTGAGGAACGCATCCGCGGTGTTTCAGCGAGTCATGGATGCAGTGCTGAGGAAGGTGAAAGGGGCGGCGTGTTACATCGATGACGTGATCATCTTTAGCCCGGACGCAGAGACGCACGTACGGGACGTGGAGGCGACACTGGCAGCAATCGAGGCGGCCGGCCTGACCTGTCATCCAGGGAAATGCCGCTTCGGACATGGGAGCGTAGCGTATCTGGGGTTTGAGGTGGCAGGAGGGGAGCTGAGCATCCAGAAGGCCAAGGTGGAGGTGCTAGATCGAGTGGAAAGGCCGAAGGACAGGAGTAGTCTGAGGGCTCTGCTGGGGTTCCTCAACTACTATCGCAAGTTCATTGAGAATTTCAGTAAGCGGGCGGCACCCTTGAACAAGCTACTAAGGGAGGAGCAGAAGTGGCAATGGGAAGGGCCGCAAGAGCAGGCCTTGCGGGGGCTGATGGAGGCAGTCAAGGCCGGGGCCGTATTGAAGCTGCCAGACGGACAGCAGCCATTCATCCTGTACACGGACTGGAGCAGCATAGGGATGGGGGCAGTCCTGAGTCAGATGGATAGCGGGGTGGAGAAAGTGGTGGCCTTTGCCAGCCGCACCTGCAGCCCAGCAGATTCCAACAACTCGTCCTACGAAGGGGAGGGGCTGGCAGCCGTGTGGGCAGTGGGACACTTTCGGGTGTACCTACAGGGGCGGCACTTCACCCTGGTCACCGATCACCAGCCCCTGCTGTGGCTCATGCATAATCAGAGCCTGACGGGAAGAAATGCGCGGTGGGCCATGAAACTACAAGAGTACGACTTCACCGTGAAGCATAGGCCAGGTGCCACTATGCAGCATGTGGACGGGCTCTCCAGGAACCCTCCCAGGGAAGGCAGGAAGCCGGAGCCAGAACCAGAGCCAGAGCCCCCAGCAGCGGCCTTGACTGCCATGGTGAGGGAGCGAGGGACGGGAGGAGAGCAGCAAAAGGGACCAGCTGACGTGTGGCAGGATGAGGAGACTCTGAAGTGGATAAAAGGAGAGACAGCCGAGGACGGGGGAGCAGGAGCTAGAGCTAGGGCACGGGGACAGCACTACAGGTGGTTTCAAGGGCAGGTGCAGCTGCAGACTAAGGACGGATGGAAGCGGGTGCCAGCACCGACTGAGAGGGAAGGCATCATCCGCGAAGTTCACAACAAACTGGGGCATTACGGCCCGTTACGGACTATGCAGCTGCTGCAAACGGGGTGGTGGTGGGCACGGATGCGGAAGGAAGTGAAGGAGTGGGTGGAGAAGTGCGAGCTGTGCTGCAGGAACAAGGCAAGCCTGCTGAAGAGCCAGGCAGAGCTGCAGCCCTTGAGCATCGTGGAATTGGGGTATAGGTGGTCACTGGACATCGCGGGAGAACTGCCAGTGTCTCGGAGGGGTAGGCGGTACGTGCTGCTCATGATTGAGCATGTGAGCAAATGGGCAGAAGCAAGGCCCTTGGTGGCCAAGACGGCGGAAGCAGTGGCAGAGGCCTTCGAGGAGATGGTACTGACAAGGTTTGGTGCGTGTGGGGAGGTGCTGACCGACCAGGGGACTGAATTCCAGGGGGAGTTCAAGGAGCTGTTAGCAGAGAACGGCATCCATCACCGAACCACCTCGAGGTACCATCCGCAGAGTGACGGCCTGACAGAGAGATTGGTGCAGACGGTGAAAAAGGGGCTGCGGGTGTATGGGGAGGCAAACAAAGGCGACTGGGATAAGAAGCTGGCGTGGGTGATGGCTGGGTACAGGTTTAGCAAGCAGGCGTCACTGAAGGATGTCACCATATTATCTGCTCTTCGGAAAGCACCCCATATTACTAGTGGATGCGCCAAGACTGATGCTCGACCCAGTCAGGACGAACACAGTGGAGAAGTGGGTGGCTCTGGCGGACGCGAGAGCCAAGTACCTGAAGAAGCTGCTGCCAGCGGCCATGGAAAGTTTGAAAGTGGCACAGCTGCGGGACATACATCGCTATAAGCAGAGGCAGCTGGACAAAATGGCGGGAAAGCAGGCGGCAGTGGAGGAAGGGCAAGCGGTGTATGTGCGACGGGCGAAGCGCGACGGATTAGATGTGGGTGTATCACAGCAGAGGTGGGAGGTGAAAGAGGTGCGGGAATCAGGAGTGTTGGTGCTGGAGGATGCAACTGGGAAGCGAGTCATGGACCACGTCACGAACGTGGCCCCAGCAGGGAAGCAGCAGCGTGCAGGTGGCTACTCAGGTCCCATGACCAGGGCGAGGGCGGCCGCGGCAGGTCATGGGAGGGGGCAAGAGAGGTAGACACGAGTCAAGCAACAAGGGAAACTGGAAGGAGGATAGCAGCAAGGACGAGGTCAGCGAGTACAGAGAAGAGCAGCAAGGGAGGGGGAGGACTGCCTGGGAGAAGGAAGGTGAGGGAGGAATGTATGGCACAGGGACAGGAAGCAGGAAGGGGAATGGAGTCAAGAGAGGCCAGGAGGGAGGTATCCGACAGCTGTCACATTTGCATGAATGTGAGGGGTAAGGTGGTGCGTAATGGGGCTGTATATACTGTAGATATTGTACATAGCAGGTCGGCCTGCAGTGAAGTGGGGAGCCGAAGAGACATTTGACCTTTCGGAGACAGAGAAGGGAGGTGGGGAGCTGACGGTTGCCGAGCCTGCGGGTCGGAGGTCTGCTTGGGCAAGCGGGAGCTGGAACTTACGTAAGCAAGGAGGGGCGGGCTGTAGAGGCAGAGGCAGACAAGGCAGCGGCAGCAGAAAGCCATAACACAGGATGTGATGGATGGGTGAATGCTTGCATGCGTGTTTGTTTTCTCATGTGTGCAGGATAGGTTCGGGAAGCCAGCTGAATCTGGGAGTAACAGCTAGAGGCTAAGGAGGCTGGGCGGGGAAGTGTGGCAAGAGGCAGCACGGCTGTGAGCCTGTGTGACGCAGCTCTTCGCTGCTAGCGTAGGCGGGGTGATGGGACAGACGCAAGGAGGTGGTAGTGCTGGTAGAATAGGGGGATTCCTGAACGATCTATCCATTGCTTGTATGTTTCCTTTTTACACGAGTGCTTTGCTGTAATCTGAGCAAGCAGTGACGATAGGGAGATATGACGAGCAATGGGTAGTGAGTAGTGGTAGAAGGATCTAGTGTGTGTGACGGAGCAGGTAGCTCATCACATACAAGCAATCAGAGGAGGCATGCCCACGAGGTCAGGATTGGATTTTGCTATGCAACTGGAAACTGGAACACGAGTCAAGCAACAAGGGAAACTGGAAGGAGGATAGCAGCAAGGACGAGGTCAGCGAGTACAGAGAAGAGCAGCAAGGGAGGGGGAGGACTGCCTGGGAGAAGGAAGGTGAGGGAGGAATGTATGGCACAGGGACAGGAAGCAGGAAGGGGAATGGAGTCAAGAGAGGCCAGGAGAGAGGTATCCGACATGCGCAATCATACTCTTTTGTCTTTATCTCAATTTTCTACACTGCGGCACTACAAGGAAGAGCGTGCATGGGGCGCTGATGCACAGAGGTCAGTAAAGGTCTTTGGTGTTGGGTGCATTCCGTTTTGGGTTGTCGTTACGTACTTGTGACTTTTGCGAAAATACTGGCGAGGTAATTTGTGGCACTTGATGATTCGCTCTCAACTGCGCAGCCAGTTACACAACGAATTGCACTAAGCACCTGCATGGTTCACACTAGCACCGCTACTGTAGCTTTTTAATATCTATACAAAAATGCATATTATGTTGCAGTTGTTACGAGTGCAATGGAACGAGATAACGAGGATTGCACTAGGTCTCAAAACGAGTACAAAGTACGAGCGAAGGCATGAGCGAATACTTATACGCGAAACATGCAAACGGTAACGCGGTGCGTGCGAGCTGGCTAATGTCAAGAACTGAATGATGCATTGACTAAGGTTGGTTGGGGTACATAAACCTAACCCTAACTGCTGTACCCCATATGACACACATCACTAAAGGCTACAACATTTGACACACCCCCATAGCCTAAGTGAGGGGTGTCAAGCAAAACCAAAACCGTACGGTCACAAGACCAGTCACAAAGAAACAAAGCTCAGGGTGGATCACAACATCACCACATAGTCTGAGAACAATCAAAAGAGCCACAAGGCCAGTCTGAAAGTTCACAGAGGTATATGCAAAGCATACAAAGCAAGCAGAGATTACAAGACTACGCAAGACGAGAACATGTGTAAATAAGACCTAACTGCACACAACTCCTCTGGTGGTCACAAGGCAGAAGCGCCTTGGTGAAGATGTCTGCAGTGTTGGCCTCAGACTCCACAAAGTTGAAGCGAGCCTGTCCACGCCTCTGCAACTCTCGCAGAAGAAAGAACAAGCCACACGCTTGATGTCGTCGCTAGGAACTTCGCCACCCTCACAGCAGCTGTCCAGTGAACAGGACGGTGTCTCCCTGGTGCAACAAAGCGAGCAAGGATGCTGAGAGGGAAGGCAAGGTCCGGGCGAGTACAAGTCATCAGGTACATGAGGCAGTCCACAAGCTCTGCGTAAGGACCACTAGGCTCGAACGGCTCGTCAGGAAAGGGTCCAGTGAGTCTGTGGTCAATGGCAAGAGGTGTGCACTGTACGGTGGAGTGCTGAAGCTCGAACTGCTGAAGGACCTGCTGTACCATGTGTGACTGTGGGAGTGTTATGGTGCGAGTGGCTCTGTCCCTGGTGATTAGCAGGCCAAGGTAGTGGCGCAGCTCACCAAGGTCAGTGCACGTGTGTCTCTTCTGTAGTTCGGACTTCACGTCAGCCAAAGCAAGAAATCCTGTCAGCAGTGGCGAAGACCAGGTCGTCGACGTAGACCAGTACAAAGAACGGTGTGGAGCCACGACGAACGAATACCGACGGGTCGGCAGAAGACGGCTGGAAACCGAGGTCAGACAGGGTAGAGCGAAGGGTGTCGTGCCACTCACGAGGCGCCTGACGAAGACCGTAGACCACTCGCCGCAGCCTCTACTAGGTCCCAGGAGGGAAGGTGCCAATGAAGGCAGAGGGACGACGCAACCAGACCTCTTCTTGTAGGCTACCCTGAAGGAAGGCAGTGGAGAAGTCGAGAGAGTGTAACTCGTAGTCTCTCTGTGCTGCTACGTGCAGTAACACCCGAAGAGTGGTCATCTTCGGGGTAGGTGCGAAGGTCTGAAAGAAGCCAATTCCCTCACGCTGACTGAAACCTCTAGCCACATAGCACACCTTGAAGACCGGAGGAGATTCCGGCGACTATGAGTTTCGTGTGTTGCCACTTGATCTCACCAACGCTCCAGCCACTTTCCAAGGCATGATGCACAGCATTTTCAGTGATTTCATTGACAAGATTTGGTTTTATTGATGACTTGCTGGTTTACAGTCGCACTCGTGAGGAGCACCTAAAGCACCTTGAGCTGGTCCTTGCACGATTGAGTGTGCACAGATTGTATGTTAAGCGTTCAAAGTGTGAGTTTGCCAAGACAAAGCTGTCATTTCTGGGTCATGTCATCTCTCATGGGAAGCTGGAGGTGGACAACAGTAAGGTGGCAGTGCTGGAGGGTTGGAAGTAGCCGAGCACAGTGAAAGAGGTGCAGGCGTTCTTGGGGTTAGCTAACTTCTACCGGCGGTTTGTGAAGGGATTTGCAGCAGTTGCAGCAACTCTGACCGAACTTTTACGAAAGGTTTCATCATTCTCTTGGGGACCGTTGCAGCAGCAAGCTTTTGAGCAGCTTAAGACTTGTCTTACTTCACCCCCTGCCCTAACAGTACCGAATCCAGAGCTCCCGTACTTCATATGGTGTGATGCACCGGACGTTGCCCTTGGAGCAATTCTCTGCCAGGAGCAGGAAGCTGGGCTGCAGCCAATTGCCTTTGAATCAAAGAAGCTGACTGCTGCAGAGTGCGCATACCCCATTCACGAGAGAGAGGCACTGGCTATGGTGCATGGACTGAAGAAGTGGCGCTATTATGTGGAGATGCAGCCCGTCACAGTCTTCACCGATCAGCGAACACTGGAGTACCTACATACAGTCACAGATTACACCACGGCAGGCACGTTGGGTTCGGTTTCTCGAGCTAGTACGTCCCCAACCTTCAGATTGTGTACAAACCAGGGCGCTTCAACCCTGCGGAGTTCTGTCACGGCCAGCAGCAGAGGAGCTGAATGTCATGGGTGTGGTTACATGGGACCGCAACTTCATCACTCGTTTCAGCCGTGGTTACAACCGTGATCAGTTTTACCAACAGAAAGTCCCTCATGACCCATCTTCCCAGCAACCCTTTTTGGACCCGTGCAGATTCTGATGCTGTTTGTGTACCTGATGATTCAAAGCTCCGCCAGCTGCTACTACACGAGTACCATGACAACCGGTCACACTTTGGCAGTGACAAGACGTATGCTGCCATTTCTCGTGACTACTACTGGCATGGCCTGTCCCGGAGCGTAGCAGAGTATGTTTCTTCATGCCCTACCTGTCAGGTCAACAAGGCTCGCACCACTGCACCGGCTGGCCTGCTGCAACTGCTAGAGATACCGACACTACCCTGGACTTGTGTCTCTCTGCATTTTATCGCAGACCTACCCCGCACCCCTACAGGCTTTGATAGCATTCTCGTGGTGATTGACAAGCTGTCCAAGTTGGCTCATTTCATCCCTACAACTGGCGCAGTGACTGCTGCTGAAACTGCCAACCTGTTTTTCACGCATATAGTGAGACTGCACGAACTGCCATCAGCCATAGACAGTGACAGAGACACATGGTTCCTCAGCAACTTCTGGACCACACTGTTTCAGCTGCTAGGCACACATATACGACTATCCACAGCCTACCATCCTGAAACTGACGGCCAGATAGAGCGCATGAACAGAACCCTGGAGGATGCGCTACGCTCGTGTGTTAATGCAATGCAAACTGACTGGGATCAACACTTGGCAGCAGTGGAGTTTGCGTACAACAGCAGCCAGAACATTGCCACAGGAGAGCCACCGTTTCTCCTAGCCACATGACAGCTGCCACGCTCTGTCACATCCCTTCCTCACCCTCATCATTCCCCTAACCCCACAGCAGCAGGTTTCATCTCTTCTCATCACCGCATTCTTCAACTTGCCCGAAGGAAGCTTCAGCTTGCACAAGAGCGCCAAGTTCGCAATGCCAACCAGCATAGGTGTCACACCACTTTCAAAGTTGGTGATTTGGTGCTGTTTTCAACTGCCAACTGTCAAAATGCTAGGCACAATCGAGAAACAGGCAAAGAGGATTTGGACTAACAAGCATAAGGATACATATAGCAAACCCTAGAAGGGCTGTACTCGCTATAGA